AACTCATACTGAAGTGGCTTTAGCTTCTTAGTGCTGTGCTTTAACCTGCTGTGCCACCCAGGAGGGCCTCAACTTTTATTTTTTGTATGCCTTGGTATTTTAAGACTTAGTGCCATAGATAAAACGATATGGCCCTGTATAATGTTTTCTTACTCTAGAGGATTTACTTTAGCTTCTGGCAGAAATCTAAGTTGGGGCAAAATCACTTTAATCAAAGTTGGGTGTAAAATGATGTAGCTAAGCTTTATCTCTAATTAGGTTGACCTATTTTTAATATAGCCATAGGGCTGTACCCTATGAGTTTTAATTAGAAGTCTCAGGTATTTAATCAATGATACTCATTTTGATAGGCAGTGAATGCCAATTTTTATTCACATAGGTCAAAGAGACAACCAAAATTCACTTACTAACTTCCCAGCCTTTTAGCAGCTGCTTTCAAATTGATAACTGCTTTGAGAATAAAAGTGGTTACAATTGTCAGGCTATCATTCTGAGTTTCCTTTCCCAGAAGAATTGTGATGAACACTACTCCAAAATAGCTTCAAATTAGTGGTCTCATGTTATACTCTTGACTGTGAGGTATAAGAACAAGAATGTATAACAATGCTTCTTTTGTAGAGGTCCAGCTTTATGCAATTTACATGTCAATTATTATTTCATTTGCATTATCATTATGTTTTTCTAAATAGTGGATAAAATATTTTACTCTTCTTGACATCCCTAGAATGCACCACTTTGCCATATTCACCCTACTGTTAATGGATTTTCTTTGGGGTGTTTTTGACTGGGCATACTTTTGTTATTCAGACTTGCTTTTTTCTGACTGGGGATAAGAGCCCTATTAATTTGACTTTTGCTTTCAAAGAGCCAAAACCCTATTATAGCTTGTTATCATACATGTAATTGAGTATGTACAATAGCTTTTCAAAAATCATTATTCAATTATTTACTAGTTATTCTTAAATTTTTATCTTATGCACTTAAGTAGGATACATTAACTTTTCTGGAAAAAAGGAAATAATATTGTCTATATAAAAATAAGTTCAGATATTTTCCCTTTGATATAAGGCCAAAGCAAATACTTCACACAATACATGAAAATTCAAAGAGACAGGACTGTTAACCTCTGATGACACAACCTTTAATAGTTATTGTTATCTCTTTCCTATAAGCATTTGCATGTTTTACAAGTAGGAAAGTGACTTCAGACCACTGCTATAAGTATAAATCACTGTCAGTAGTTCTTATATGGGCTTGATTTGTAAATGGATTGAAGACAACATATGGATATGTTTTATGTTTTTAAAAAGACAACCATTTTCTATTACTTAAGTACTCATTGATCTAGTTTTTGGGTTCTCATTGATATTTCCTTGCTATTTATCGAATTTTGATATCTACTACTCTGAAGATAGATAAAATTATCTTTAAAATTTCAATTGTCCTAACATATCTACCTGGCATTCTCTCTATATGTTAGCAACTGTGTTTTCAGTTGAGAGAGTGCTAGTCAGGGGGGTGTATCATTAAGGATCTCCTAACTTCTTAAAAGATAACATTGGTGGTACAGGAGTTAAAAATCTCAGTGCTGGGCTCTCCTTGGTGGCACAAGGGGTTAAAACACTGCATTAAGAAGCTCTCCAAAGCCACTGCAGTATGAGTTTGATCCCC